GTCGACCGATGACTCTCTGGAAAAATACTGACGAATGGTCAATTGACCGGTCGACCGTACCGGTCGACCGAAAACTGACATCCCAGAAAAACAAAGCTGATTTTAAAACACTGTTTAAAAATATCAAATAAATTCAGAAAAATGTAAAACTTTGGGGAATGATTGTAGACATGATAATACACATGCTACAAAAACTGGTTTTCTAAAAAGACTTCCCAAATGAGAAATATCATCATTTTACAAAATAGTCCAAAACATGAAAATATGAGATACTTGAATTTTGATGTTTTGACATAAACCAACTTTTGAAACTTTGTGAAATGTTTTTGTAGACTTAGTAAAACATGTATAAACTGATATTGAAGTCTATAAACTAAGAATACAATATTTTCACAAAATTGCATATTCTATGCAATGTTTTCAAAAACATAATAGAAAATATGAAATATAGAATTTCATATATATAACCATAAAAACTCAAAACATATGTATGTATATATATAACTATATATATGCATAGAAACCAAAACTTATACATATATATATGACTATATATATATATATATACGAAGAAACCAATAAATGTGTGTGTATAGATAATTGAGCTTAGAGTATATAACACACATAATATAAGCCAACCTCCTCTTGATATGATCGTGTAGGCTCAATCCATCCATCCTCCAACAACGTTGTTTGTCTACAATACATAAGAATGTACAAACACTAGACAAACAACATTAGTAGTAAATTGTTTGTTAAACATCATCAAAACAAAGAGGCCATCATGAAGACCAAAATTCTAGAATAAAAGAAAATGCAAGAAATTAAAGATGGTGGATTCAATTATAGATATGGGTCATCTAAAATTGAACCCACTTCTTAGAAAATAGTGATTCCTTAGAGGGTTCTAGCCTAAAGGCGAATCAAACAAAATAAAAATAAACAAAAAGAAAAACTAAACCCAAGAGGGTTCTAGCCTCAAGATGAATAGTATAAGAAATTAAAATCTAAACTACAAAATAAAATTACAAGAATTAAATGCAAGAAAATAAATCTATTCTATAAGCATGAAATAAATCTAATCTATGAGCATGAAATAAATCTAAGGCAAGAGGGTTCTAACCTCTTGGCTATTTAAACAAGAAAATAAAATCTAATTACAAGCATGAAAATAAATCTAACTAATAAGCAATAAAAGAGAAATAAAAGAGAAAAGGAAAGAAATGCAAACCTCTAAATAATTCTTCATCTCCATCTTCATCATCCAACAAAGAGAAGAAATATTTAAAGTGGTGAAAAAAATTATTATTATTAATTGCAATAAAAAGTTATAATTTTGGAAGGCCTTCTCAATTAAGAGTAGCCATCCTCTCCAAAAGGAGTTACAAAAATTTTCACACTCTTAACCCCTCACTCTCTACCCCTATTTATAGTAATCTTCAAAGAATATGAGCCATTGGATTTGTCTTGAGCCCCAAGCAACAATCTCCACCTTTGAATTTGCTTTTTGTATGTTCTTCTCTAGCTCAACATAAGAGGCCCATATGATTTATTTGATTTTCAAAAGAAAATCAAAATCCAATTCTGCAGCAAGCCTGTTCAAGTTCGGTCCATGAATTAAAAGCCAATTCTGCAGCAATCAATGTTCGGCCTAGTGGAGAAAATCAAGTCTGGTCCATAATGTTGTTGTGCTTTTAATTGCTTTTTTTTCTTTCTTTTCAGCAACCAAGCAACCGGCCCATTCCTTTATCTGCAGCAGTCCTGCCCATGAGTTCATCTTTGGGCCTTTAAGCTTCAATTATTCAAAAATCCAACTACAACCATCAAGTTACATGAAGCAATCAAGTCTGGTCCAATTTTCTGCCTAAGTTCGATCTATTTTGCATTCAAGTCCGGCTTATTCCACTCTTTGCATCCAAGTCCATTCCACTCTTTGGTGTAATCATTTTTTGTTTTGATGGGCTTTGGGCTTCAATCATTTTTCTCTTTTAAGCTTTTGCTTCATGGGCTTCTAAAATGCTATACAATAAAGAAGAGAGATTTTGAGGGTTTTTTACATTTAATAATATTTATTTATATTTTTATTCAATTATGTGCAAACTAATCTAACAACAATTATTACATTTAATAATATTTATTTATATTTTTATTCAATTATGTGCAAACTAATCTAACAACAATTATTAATGGTATATTTATTCATATTCAATTATGTGCAAACTAATCTAACAACAATTATTAATGGTATATTTATTCATATAAAATAGATAACGAGGGTATAAAATTGTAATAAAATTAGAGACTCGCTCGCAAACCTAACTCACCTACATACCCAGACAATCAGCCAGACGATCAACATCCTCGCCAGACTCGCCATGGTACTCGGCGGCTGCTATACCACGTACAGGGATGAGCCTTCCCACTTTCCACGACGTGAAGGGAAGGAGCATAGTACTCCGAGCCCATCAAGTAGCCGCTCATAGTACGAGCGACCAGTCAAATCCATGCAATCGCTAAGTCCGCCTGCATACTTACGGCTGAGGCTCACCTCGCCTGCATGAGTCAAGAGCCGAATTCACCTACAAACGATAAACTCACCAGACTCGCTAGGGTACTTGGTAACTACTATGTCACGTACAGGGATGGGCCTTCCCACTTCCCACGATGTGAAGGGAAGGAGCACAGTACTCTGAGCCCATCAAGTAGCCGCTCACAGTACGAGCGACTAGTCAAATCCATGCAATCACCAAGTCCGCCCGCATGCTCACGACTGAAGCTCACCTCGCCTGCACGAGTCAAGAGCTGAATCCTCCCGTGATCAACAAACTCGCCGAGCTAGCCAGAGTACCTGGCAGCCGCAATAGCATGTACGAAGATGGACTTTCCCACTCCTTACGACGTAAAGGGAAGGAGTACAGTGCTCTGATCCCATCAAGCAGCCGCTTATGGTACAAGCGAAAGGCATGATATCTCCCAACAGTACATGGTCACATTCCATGATTCATGGGAGTGACCACGTCATCTCTCCTCTATTTAAGAACTTCTCCTGGCTACAAAAAGGAGGTTCGTTCATAGTTAATTGATTAATTCAATCAGTTAGCTGAACCACTAGCTCTCGACTCTCGACTGAGTTGACGACAAGCTCTTTGCATGACCTTTGCACTATAGCATCCTCTCCTAGCTTCGGGCCCTGATTGCCATCGAACTCAGAAACTCGAACTTGACCAGCACGAGCTTCTACTGTGTATGGAAGCTCACTAGAAACCTCGATCGAATCATCCAAGGGAAGCAGACTCGGTGCAAGAATCGAGCGAGGCATCCTATCGCTATCAAAGTCCTCACATTAAACAAGGAGGGCCTTCTCTTCGTTTATGCTATAATTTTGATTCATTAGTTTTTAATAAGCTATTCTTATCAATACAAATGATATCCCCATTTTGGGAAATTAAAATTTACACCTACAGAAGATGGCGACCACAGTGGGAGAAACTATTTTTTCAACCGAAATGGTGATAGCTCAATTCGATGAGATTGCTGTTGGGACGACTGTGGAGTCCCTAGAAATCGAGTTTGACCAAGCCAAGTACGAAGAGTACTTGTCTTCCTCCTCCTCTGGTGGTGATGCGTCCCACAAACGCTATAGAGTCGTGCGTAGAAGCCGACCTCAAACGGTCAAAGCCTTCACACCTGATGACTTTATCTGAGTCATGCCAGGGGAGCCTACTCCCTCCAAATTGATCAAGGCTAAGCCAGAGGTCGAGAGCACAGGGCGAAAGGCTGCCAGATGGGTCGCCAAATAACCCTTGTAGGCCCCCGCTCAGGAAGAGATAGTGGTTCAGCTCGGCGCAGACCACGTCATCATGGCCCGCATGGACGCTCCTTCCTCTAGAAGAGCCCGCCAGCGGCGACGATAGGTCCTCGCCTGATAGAAGGCCCGAACCTTCACCTCATACGACGGCCCGAATTATTATTCGGGTCTGAAATGTGCCAAATAGAGAAGCAACCCTCCCAACGTTGGTGGGCTCGCCCTCCCGTTCAGGTGGACTTTACTCTAATCGTAATATCCCCCATTTTGACGGGTCTGGTATTTCTGACCAACTTAGCCACTCAGGCAAGCCAGTCAGAATGAGCGAGCCTACCTCCTCAGGTAAGTTTCGCTTCTCAGATCATATCCCTGATGCGAACAGACTGCTCAGAGTAGGCGAGCCCTCGAAATCAAGCGAGTCTCACCGAGTCCGCTTGGCGGATAAGCAATACGAACGAACGGGCCTTAACAACAAAGGCAAGACGGTAGGCGATACCTCATAAACTCACCTGCATGAACAGATGGTTGAGTTTTTCCTGCAGGTAGAAACTCGCCCGAGCACGAAGAATCGCCTGTCAAGGTGAGCTCGCATAACTCCAACACTTGACCATTCCACCCAGTATACACGGGAGAGTTCATCCGAACCTCTCTCATGCGACCGCTCGGTTGACCCTTCTGATGCCGGGGGTTGTCGTCGACTACCTGCAGAGGATCTCCGGAGTTACCTAACTCGCAAACGTACCATACATGAGGCTAATCCTCAGTGTCACTGTGAGAGGCTTATCCAAACGGTACTCGCCGATTGCCAATGTATAGAAACGGCGAAGCCTTTGGTGTTCGGGAGGCTTGCTCAAAGACCTTCCCAGCCGAGATCTTCTTGCCTAAGGCGTGACCACCAAAGAAGGCGCGCCCTTGATGATTTAGAGCTCCCGTCTGCTATGGTCAACATGACGGGAAAGGGTAAAAATATACTTCCAGATCCCCCAGATTTGGATTCTTTCTTGGAGTCCAGTCACCCACTGGTTCAACGCGAGCGTGATGGTATATTCCTACACACCCGCAGTCGTACAGGAGTCAACATCCCACTCGATTACTCTCTCCTAGCGCCCCTTCTGTTAGTGAAGAAGAAGTTTGTTTGGCGGCGGCTACATCCCAAACATCGCATTCGAGCTATGGCGAGCTAGCAAGAGTGCATATGGCTGAAACCTTGAGTGATCAGATGATCGCTCAAAAGTTTGAAGAACATCAGGTCGCCATTGAATCCATAAAGGACATGTTGGAGCGGCTTCTGAACAAAAAGAAGAAGAAGAAGGTCACGTGTACCCCATGGAGGCCAGTGGAAGGCAAGGAATGGGGACCTACTCCTAATCAGATGACTGAACGGGAAGATAATGCTGAAATCCTGTCGGATCACTTCTCGAAGTCATCGACAGGAACGTCATGCTCCAGGGTACCACCTGAGACAGGAGATTCGAGGAGTTCCAAAGCCAACTCAATGCCTTGAAGCTTCAACAGAACATGAACAAACTGGGGGTGGTCAGGCCATACCCTGTCGAGTGGGACACAGTCCTCTACCCGACAAAATTCAAACCCATCAGCTTGGTGTAGTTTGATAGTAAGGGTTCTCCCTTGCAGCATATCTACTACATTATAGCTCAGACCGAATTCCTCACCGGGAACGACGTCATCCTCACCCGGCTATTCATCGGCACCCTCAAAGGGGTAGCTTTCGAATGGTTCTGCAAGTTAGAACCAGGCTCTATCAAGTCAAGGGCCGACGCAGAAAGGCTCTTCCTCACCCGCTTCTTCGATGATGATACCGAAGTGTCGATGGCTGCACTCCTTGCTAAAAAGCAAAGGAAGTCGGAGTCAGTCAATGACTTTGTAAAGAGATTCAGGAATCAGTTGGTCCATTATCGAGACCAAGTCTTTGAAACCATACTGATTGAGATGTGCCGTAATAACCTTTCAATCCATATTCTGTCCAAGGTTGGCACAGTAGAGACCCGAACCTGGAAAGAACTCATTCGCCAAGGCGAGCAGGTTGAGAATATGACCAAAAAGGGAGTTGCCAAACCGAGCGCACCAAAGAATCCTCCTCGAACGAGAGGAAAGGAGATCATGGCCGTTGACTTCGCTCCGGTGCCCAAACCAGTTCAGAGGCCGAAACCTAGGCCGTTCGAACAACTTCCCCCGAGGCAATACGACTTCAGGGAAGACCAAGTGGTAGAAACCCTTAACACGCTCCTCAAGAGCAATAGGATTAAGCTATCGGAAGTAACTAAGCCCGAAGAGGCGAGAAAAACAAGTGAACCGAACTACTGTGCGTATCACAGGTTCCTCGGCCACCATACCTTCAAATGCTATATCCTCAAGGACAAACTTCAAGCCCTGTACGATGCGGGAGTTCTAAAAAAGGAGAAGGTGCATAAACAGGTGACCACAAACATGGTCACTCTGAGTTTTGGAAGGGATCTCCTAGAGGTTCAAGCGCCGACGGGGATAGTTCCTATCCCTAAGGCAATGCTGAAAATCATTAACGATGATCCTCATAATCAACGAGGAAAAGGTTTAGTATCCCAAATCTTACCATCGGGGTAAGTGATGTGGGTCCATCCAGACCTCCTCGGTGATGAGCAATGGACTTTAAAGCCTTTGAAGAAGACTAAGGGTAAACCTTGCCACGCTATATCTGCCATCCCAGATGAAGGCAAAATGGTAGTAGCCGCTCTCACCGACTCCGATGAGGAAGCTATCGCCCTAGCCACTAGAGCAGGGAGAGAATTCGCCAAGAATTACCCTGCCAGAACAGAGGATCCTGCAGGACCTTCCACAAGACCGCATGCAACGACCCCTCTGAACCCCGATGGGCCTAGCTCGAGTAATTAGCCTTTCAGGTTCAACGTACTCGCACAGCTTAAGAGCATTCCAGCCAGAATCACCATGTACGAACTCCTGCGTCTGTCTAGACCTAATCAGGAGGCTCTGCAAGAGGCATTGGCCGACTCAGAGGTCTTCGCCACACACTTCTCGTTTGCTAGGGAAGAGGACAAGGAAAAGAAATATTTACAGTGCTGTCAGGCCTCTGAACAATGGGTCCCTTGCATTACATTTACCCCTGAGGACATGCTAATCAAAAGCACTTCCCACGATCGACCCTTGTACTTCACGGGGTACACCAGTTCCTCCAGAGTGGATCAAATCCAAGTTGACCCGGGATCCACGCTGAGCATTGTCCCCTTTAAACTTATGCAATACCTGGGGGTCCCCCAGAAGCATCTTTCCATGACAACCACGACTATCTTTGGGTTCAACGCCACCGGGATGAGGCCGCTTGGTAAGATCCGCCTAAAGTGCCGTATAGGCGACATGAAGATGGAGGTCACCTGTTACGTCATTGACATGGAGCCTTCCTACAACATGCTTTTGGGACGGCCATGGATCTACATTAATCACATAGTCCCGTCCATATTACACCAATGCCTAAAGTACGTGGACGACTACGATCAGGTGAAGACAGTAGTTGCCGACAAATAACCCTTCAAAGGAGTCGAGAACTACTTGACGGATTCCCTGCTTTACCAAGATTCTGACAAACCACCGATCAAGGAACTCGAGAGCAGTAACGAAGTAGATAGTGAACCCGAATACGGGGATAGCCTTGTCCTGAACGATTTCGAATCGTTTGTAATCGGCTATGAAAACCATAATATAACTGACACTGTCTAGGCGGATGAGATTATCTTAAATAAGAAGTTCAACTTTGCTTAATTATCATCTTGCCCGACATCTAAGGATGACCTGCCTAACGTCTCAATGTCGAGGCTCTACAGTGACCCTTCACTACATTTCCCCGTGTACTCGTTGTATGTCGTAATGAGACAAGTGATTGAGTCTTCGCAGGCTGTATTCGTCGTACCTTCCCAAGATAATTATCAAAAGGATATTATCTTTGGGAGAGTCAATCACCCCTTATGCACGTTTTGTGGGACGAGTCTGAAGAGGAGGAATCTCCGCCATAGTTTTTGCAATACAGTTAAATAGCGAAACATATGATGAAGGACATGGGTTAGGATTTCGCTCGTCAAGAAGGCCTGAACTACAACCGAGGGCGGAAGACGATCATTCGACCCACCTATGTGCCTAAAGGCAAGCCCTCGAATTACTTCGCCAAGACTCAGAGAGGTTTGGGCTACATTTCTTCCTCATCAGAGTTGTTCTGCAATTTCGGCGGGTACTCCAATGATGTCCGCTCAGAGGATCAATCATCGACATCCTCAGTGTGGGACTCAGACATCAGCGTGGGAGACTTGTTCAACAACCTCACAGTCAACATGGTTGTGACCGATCCTGGGTCCCGCTTTATGATGAGACATGGGATCGCCATGTCAATACCCAGTGGAGTAGTCATTTCAAGCAACGTGAACCGCTTACCGAAGATGAAATCCTCCAAATAAACATGGGCGATGAGACCAATCCCAAGCCTATATTTATCAGCGGTAGTCTACCTCCCCAAGAGAAGAAGACCTCATAGCCCTCATACGGGAATATATTGATGTCTTCGCATGTAATTATGAGGACATACCCGGCCTTGATCCACAGATCACTATGCATCGCCTCAACATCGGCGCGGACGCCAAGCCTATTAAACAGCAGCAGAGGCGGTTTCGTCCACAAATCATAGAGACAATCGAGGCCGAGGTGAAGAAGCTGATCGAATCCTGCTTCATCAGAGGGGAATAGCACCCCGACTGGGTAGCCAACATTGTTCCAGTCCTAAAAAAGAATGATAAGATCCGCATCTGCATTGACTTTAGAAACCTCAATGCCACTTGCCCAAAAGACGAATTCCCTCTCCCCATCACGGACGTCATCATCGATAATACGTGCAGATTTAAGAGGATGTCCTTTATGGATGGATTTTTAGGGTATAATCAAATCAAGATGCACCCCGATGACGAAAAACACACTTCATTCAGGACTCCAATGAGGGTATATTGCTACACGATCATGCCTTTCGGACTCAAAAACACTGGTGCAACCTATCAACGCGCCTTGTGCACGATTTTTCGAGACCATCTATGAAAGATAGTCGAATGCTATATGGACGACCTAGTCGTGAAAAGTCACAGTAAAGATGACCATCTCCATGACTTGAGGGTGATGTTCAAACTCATGAGAACTCATCAACTCAAGATGAATACTACGAAGTCATTCTTAGGGATGCCCAATGGTAAATTCCTTAGATTTGTAGTCACAACTAAAGGAATCCAAATTGACCCGGATAAAGTACGAGCTATCCAAGAGCTTCAGCCTCCCCGTAATCTCAAAGAATTAAGGGGTCTCTAAGGATGATTGGCTTACATCCGGAGGTTCATCTCAAACCTCTCGGGCAAATGTCAACCCTTCTCCAAACTGATGAAGAAAGGTGTCTCCTTCGTATGGGACGAGCCTTGCCAAATGACATTCGAAGAGATCAAAGCTTACCTCTCAAACCCACCTGTCTTGGCAGCTCTAATATCAGGAAAGCCATTTCTTATCTACATACGAGCCATGAAACACTCTCTAGCCGCTCTCTTAGCGCAAAATGATGATGCCGGCCATGAGAAGGGTATCTACTGCCTGAGTAGAATCCTACAGGGTGCCAAACAACGATACCCTATGGTCGAAAAGGAATGCTTAGCCTTGGTATTTGCCATCCAAAAGATACGACATTACCTAGTTAACCAAACCATCCATGTCATTTCCCGAATAAACCCCATCTGAGTCTTTATGACACAGCTCGTGGCCTTAAACTGACATTTGGCCAGATGGGCACTCCTACTGTCTCAGTACGGCATTTACTTCATGTCGCAGAAGTTAGTCAAAGGGCAGTCTATCTACGATCTCATGGCCAGTCATCCGCTGGGGGAAAAAACTGACCTGTTCGAAGATTTGTCAGATGAACCCCCCCGAAGTCAACACGACCTCCCCGTCGGAAGCTTGGCAGATGTTCTTCGATGGTGCGTCTCGTGTTGCCACGAGCAGATCTATTGTTGCAGGAGTGGGGGTGGTTCTCACTTCTCCACATAACCACGTATTACCCCGAGCCTTTTCTTTAACAGAACCATGTACCAACAACGTGACTGAGTATAATGCACTACTCATTGGACTCGAGCTGGCCCGAGAGTTAGAGGTAAAGCATCTCGAGGCCTACGATGACTCTCAACTTATTGTTAAGTAGATGACGGGGGAATATGAGGTTAGAAATGACGATCTAATCCCGCTTCATAAAGAGGCTACCAAACTAGTTGAGTCATTCGAAAGCTTCCGCATTGAGCATGTGTTTCGTTCCAAGAACACGCATGCGGACGCCCTCGCGTCCTTAGTAGCTAACTTGGCTCAGCCGTTAGAGATGACTCAATGTGTCATTATAGCGAGCCGATGACTCTTTCGATCGGAGAACGTTCTAGAAGTAAATACTACTCACCAAGCTCCGGATCAACTTGACCCGAAATATTGGTGTCTCCCGATCATCAACTACGTTTTGTACGACATGTTACCTAAAGACGTTAGGGAGCAAGAATCTGTCCGCCGACGCACCTCAAGGTTCTACTACGACTTGACCACAAAGACGTTATATCGTAGGTCGTATGATGGTTTATTGCTCCGATAACTTTCAAAGATAGAAGCGCAACAAGCTCTGCGTGAAGCCCATGAGGGCACCTACAGAGCTCACCAGCCGGAACCTAAGCTGTGGGATCGTCTGCGGAGGATAGGCTACTTTTGGCCAGGGATGGTTAGCGACGCAATTGCTTATGCCAAACGATGCCACGCATGCCAAATCCATGCCAATTATATGCACCGACCTCCTAAAGACCTGCATACAGCAACATCGTCATGGCCATTCAAAACATGGGGAATGGATATAGTCGGTCCAATATCCCCGCCATCAACAAGGGGTCACTGGTTCATCCTGGCGATCACTGACCACTTCTCCAAATGGGCCGAACCATCCCCTTAAGAAAAGTCAAAACCAATGATGTGATCAAGTTTATCAAACATCATGTCATATATTGATACGGTGTACCTCGACGTGTCATCCATGACAACAGCACGTAATTCGTTAGTCATGCATTCACCCAGTTCTGTGACAAGTTCTAAATTCAGAACCTTTCCTCTACAGCCTATAATCCTTCGACAAATGGCTTAGCCGAGGCCTTCAACAAAACCATCATTAAGATCCTAACCAAGCTAACCTCCAATAGCAAGCGCGACTAGAACGAGAAGCTTGGTGAGAGCTTATGGATGTATTACACAACGGTTCGCACACCGACTGACAACACGCCTTACTCATTGGTATATGGCTGTGAGGCCGTGTTACCATTAGAGATTCAAATTCCATCCCTTCGTGTTTCTCTAGCTATAGGGATGATGACCGAGGACAATCATCAACGACACCTCGCGGAACTAGAATCGTTGGATGAAAGGCGGCTTGAAGCCCAACAGCACATTGAGTTCTACCAAGCTCGAATAGCTAAAGCCTTCGACAAGAAAGTCAAGCATCGATCCTTCAAAGAGGGAGAATTGGTCCTTGCTGTTTGAAGACCGATGATTCTCAC